ACATCTCTCTTCCCACTTCATCTCTGTAGTTACCTCTTCCTGTGTGCTTCTTTCCTGGCATCCCTGCCCCTGAGCTATCTCCCTGTGAAAATACTGCTCTTCTTTTCTCCTGTGATTGATCATTCTAAGTAGTGTGTCTGTCTGATGTGAATGTATCCTCCGTATACCTGTTGTTTGCCTGGAAGACATGGGAATAAATTCAGTTCCAGACCCGAAGAGTAAGTAGGGGCTTGTAGTCTCAGAGGTTTCATTCACCAGGCTTTATCAGACTAGGAAGCCTGTTCTTTTTTATGATTTTGTTTTATTCCACATTATTCTTCCACTCTATCCAGGATCTGCTGCACTGATCCCTTTCTGAGTAGTTGACAGTTAGCTGGGCACCATCTAGTTTTTCTGGTTTCATGGTCATATAGGCTGAGGTTCACACTGTCCACTAATCCCTTAGACTAATTGTTTCTATGTGTCTTTGCTTTTCTTCATTCTTCTTTGCTCTGGACGAGGAGAGAACCATTGTTGCATCTAGATAGCCACTTGCAAGCTTTTAAGACCCCAGTCGCTACTCACCAAAGTAAGATGTAGAACAATGTTTCTGTGTAGTATGTTATGCCTATTGAGTTTAATGTCCCCTGCAACCAGGGTCCTGAGCACACACCTCCAACAACTTGCTCTATCAGGGTGGTTGACTGTGCCTAAGAAGGTATCGTAACTTTGCCCTCTGTTAGTTCTAGTTATATGGACATTCTTAACAGCACATACAAATATGTATGCAGAAATATTGTCTGCCAACCTTATATAAAAACCACAAAGCCAAAGTCACTGCTATTGAGTCGATTTCAACTCATAGTGACCCCATTTTGGGTTTCTGAGGTGGTAAATCTTCATGGAAGTAGATTGCCCAGTCTACTTCCACGGAGCAGCTGGTGGGTTTGAACTGCCAACCTTCTGGTTAGCGGTCAAATGCCTTAGGCACTATGCCACCAGAGCTCCTTAATCTTTTATGTAGTCATGGGTATAGTCCCTTTGAAATGTTCTTTTTGATGATGAATGCAACACCATTCTGCTTCAATTTTTCATTCCTGGCATGGTAGATTATATGATTGTCTGATTCAAAATGGCCAGTACCGGTCCATTTGAGCTCATTAATTCCTACAATATTCATCTCTATGCTTTCCATTTCGTTTTTGCCAACTTCCAGTTTTCCTATACTCATACTTTGTACATTACATGTTCTGATTATTCATGAATGTTTGTATCTGTTTCTTCCCATGTTGAGTCATTCCCCATCACTAAATGAAGGTCTTGAAAGCTTTACTCCATCTACATCATTAAGGTCAGCTCTACTTTGAGGAAGCAGCTCTTCCCCAGTCATATTTTGAGTGCCTTTCGACTTTAGAGCTCATCTTCTGGCACTGTATCAAACAGTGTTTCATGGCTCTTCATAAAATTTTCCAGTAATGCATCACACAGTGTTTCATTGTTATTCATAAGGCTTTCAGTTTTTTCAGAAGTGAATGACCCTGTCATTTTTCCTGGTCTTCGTCTGGAAGGTCTGCTGAAACCTGTTTACCATGAGTGACCCTGCTGGTATTTGAAGTACTGGGTGGTATAACCTCCAGGTTCACAGCCACATGCAAGCTACCACTGTATGACAAACTGACTGACAAGGGGTAGAAAAACCAAGAGACCTACATAAATGGAAAACTGTAGCATGCTCACAAGTAAGAAGACTTAAATTGTGAAAATGTCAGTGCTACCCATTGCAATCTACTGATACAATGTAATTCTGATTCAGATTCCATCATCTTTCTTTAAAGACTAGAAAAAAGTAATCCCTAACTTTAAAGGGAAAGGAAAAAGACTCTGGATAAGTAAAGCATTACTAAAGAAGAACAACAAAATAGGGGGCCTCACATTCCCCGATCTGAAAACCTACTATATAGCCACAGTAGTTAAAACACCCTGGTGTTGATACAACATCAGACACATAGACCAGTGGAACAGAATTGAGAACCCAGAAGTAAATCCATCCACCTATGGAGAGCTAATCTTTGACAAAGGGCCAAAACTCATTATATGGTGAAGAGATAGTCTCTTTAGTAAATGATCCTGGCAAAACTGGATATCCATTTGCAGAAAAATGATACAGGACCCATATCTCACACCGCATGCAAAAATGGACTCAAGTTGTATCAGAGATCTGAATGTAACACCTAAGACCTTAAAGACTATCAAAGGAAAATAGGGACAATTTAGGGGCCTTAATGTAGGGCATAAGTACACTATTGAATATAAAAAGGCCCAAACACCAGAAGACAAAATAGATGACTGGAACCTCCTAAAAATTCAGTGCCTCTGTACATCAAAAGAGTTCATTAAAAGAGTAAAAGTGGAACCCACAGACTGGGAAAAAAATTTTGGCAATGACATTTTGGACAAGGAGGTAATCTATAAAATGTATAGAAAACTTGCACAACTTAACAGCAGTTATAAAATGGACAGAGAACATGAACAGACACTTCACCACTGAAGACATTCAGGCAACTAACAAACACCTGAAGAGGTGCTCACGATCATTAGCCATTAGAGAGATGGAAATCAAAATAACCATGAGGTATCATCTCACTCGAGGACTAATAACAAATTTTTAAAAACCAAGAAAATGACAAGGGCTGGCAAGAGTGTGGAGAGACTATAACCTTCATACACTGCTGTTGGTACTATAAAATGACACAGCCATGGTGGAAATGGTATGGTGCTTCCTTAAAAAGCTGGAAATAGAAATACCATATGATCTAGCAATCCTCCCACTGCTAGGTAGATATCCTATAGAAAATAAGACTTGTGACATGAACAGATAACGCCCCTGTTCACTGCAGCACTATTTACAGTAGCAAAAAGAAACAACCTAAATGCCCATCAGTGGAGGAATGGATCAACAAACTACCATCACGCACAGAATGGAACACTATGCAACATTAATTAACTGATGAATCTGCGTAACATCTCAAATCATGGATGAAGTTATATGCCTTTATGATGAGTCAATTTCAAAAAGAGAAATACTGTATGAGATCACTAGTGTTAAAAGTCAAGAAGAGGGTTTTACAAAAAAAAGAAATAATCTTTATATAGTGGGAGGAAAATGTTGAACAAAAGTAAAAATTATAATAAACACCAGGCTTACTGCTCTGGCAGATAGTGGTGAAACCTCCAAGGCTATGAGCCTTAGTCACTCTTTGGACTTGTAATTCACCTCACTCCTGTCTGTGGCTTAACCTTCAGTCAAACAGTGACAGGTGAACAGTTCCAGTGGGAAGGTGCACTTCTTGGAACAGTCAACTGTGGGAGATCAGAAGAGCAGCATTAGGTACAGAGAAAAAGCTCAGAAAGCAGGAATGCATAGGAAAGAAGGACACAGGGAAGAAGTAGGAAGAGAACTGCAGTCAGTGTCACGAGATAAAATATGTACGAACTATTGAATGGAAAATAAATTTGCTTTGTAAACTTTCCCAGGTCACATTAAAAAGTTAAAAAGAAGTATTCTTTGGTTACCAAGGGTGGGTGGGGAAAGGAGGATAAGCCACTAACTTAAGTGAAGGAGGAAAGAAAAGAAAAGTCTCAGAAAATGATAAACTAATGTATGATGGAAATTACCTTTCAAGGGGTAGTGACTAGGATGGGGCCTAGTAGGGGCTTTTGGAATGCTAGTTATATAGATGCCTTCAGTTTGAAAATTCACCAAGTGGCATAGTTTTGGTTTGTATACTTTTTCTGTTTGTGGTGATGCAGTGGTTAAGTGCTCAACTGCTAACCGGAAAGGTTGGCAGTTCGAACCCGCTACCCACTCTGTGGGAGAAAGATGTGGCAGTCTGCTTCAGTAAGGATTATAGCCTTGGAAACCTTATGGAGCATATCTGCTCTGCCCTATGGAGTCTCGATGAGTCAAAATTGACAGCAGTGGATTTGGTTTTTAATATATGATTTATTTATTTTTTTTTTTAAAGAGAATGATAGTGTCTTTTTTTTGTGGAATAAAGGATATTACTATTTCAGAAGCCTTGGTGTTGGGTTTGATTTAAAAGTGTGGTAACATGAGTTTCTAAAAGCTGTATTTCCCTCTTATTTTAGGTGAGGATGTTGTTTTCAAGGTAGTTTAGTGAGTGGTTAATTTTTTCTGTAGGTAGATGGAATATAAGTAAGCATTTTTTAATAGTAAAGTTAATTATTTTTTTTATGCTATTTTAACCTGTCCTCCCAATAGTTGCTTTTCAGGTTACTTAATAACAGGCTGACATTAAAAACTTTATAATCTTTAGTTAAACTTAGAATTTTTTTGCTGTAAAATTAACTATTGGTTACTGCAGGATAATGGCAAAATATGGACTTACTTTACTATCAAACTACATGCATGTTTAAGTTTCACATTAGGTTTCAGGTCTCAATTTATGGATAATTGTCCAGATTTAAAACACCAGTCTTTATTATTTTGTATAAAAAAGATTATTTGATAGTGGTTATTTGTTGATTAATAATTTAAAGCTGATGTCAGACTAACATTTGACCATATCTGCTTCATACTTCCTGCTCTAAGAACTGTGGCTATTCTTCAGCATTCCCTTGACAGAGAGGTTTCCTTTGGCATGCAGCTAAGGTTTTCAAACTGGTTCTTCCTCCCCTTTCTAACTTTTTTTTGGTTTGTTTGCTTTAAACTCATATGCATCTGTTCCACTTACTCATTATAAACAATCTGTAAACAGAAATAGGATAAAGCAAGAGAAATGGAAAGATTCCTAGGGACCACTATATTTATAATTTCATACTTACAGAGAAATCTAGCTTTGTGAGGCATTCTATTAAGAAAATATAGTGATCTGTGGTACATTTCCCCAGTGTTTATGAAGATTTTTTGTGGGCTTGGCTAAACTGATTCAACCAGCTAAACATCTAGATGAGTATATTTCTTTGTCATATTATATATTTTCATTTTGTTTCAAAAACAGAATCAAAATGTGAGGGGAAATGGCAGAAAGCAGTATCAAGACTCCCCTAATCAGAAGAAAAGAACAAATGGAGTTCACAGTCAGCCCACAAAGCAGCAGAATCCCTTGATGGTAAGATTTAAGGCTCCCATGCTGAGAAGAGTTCAGACTTCTTAAAAGTCGAGCTAAGGCAGTTGTCAATCCATAGCAGTAATGTTATTTGCTTTACTCTTAATTTTAAATAATATACTAATAGGATTTTATAGAGCTGAATTGTACCTGATTATGTTGATACACTAAAAATCTCTTTAGACCACCTATAAATTATAAGTTTAAATAAGTTTAATTGTAAGTTTGACATTGATGCTACTGCTGATCTTTGCTTTTTATGTGGGTATTTACATTTATTTCAATGAAAAGAATATGTAGTCATTTTAGAGTAATTCCTTGGATGTTGTTCTAAATAAATAGTCTTTATTATTTTAATAAATATTCCCTTAAAATAATATTGTAAAAATGTCCATTTTTCCTGAGTATATATAAATTTCACTTAGTACCAAGCAAAATCCTGTGGGTTTTGGGTGAATATTAGAAATGACTCTCAAATTCATCTCAAAGAACTTGAATAAGTTTTTTAAAAATGAGCAAACGGTTCATAAGTGATTAGTAAATATGTGAAAAATGCTGAACAATATGTGTAATCAAAGAGTACTCATTTATATAGGGTACCACTTTCTCCCATCAGACTGGTAAAAATGGAAAGATTGATGATACCTCAGTGTTGTTGAGTATATTGAGACACTTAATTGATAGTTGGTACAGTTCTAGAAAGCACGTTGATGATATATATCAAAAACTTGAGAAAGTGCTTACCTAGATTCCCTAGAAGGGACATTTAAGGAATATTAAGCTCGTTACTTCTTTACAATAATGAAAAAAATAGAAAAAAACCTAATTTCCTGTTGTTTGGTGTTGTCAAGTCAGTTCCCACTCATAGCGACCCTATGTACAACAGAATGAAACACTGCCAGTTGTGTACTATCCTCACAATCCTTGCTATACCTGAGCCCATTGTTGTACCCGCTGTGTCAATCCATCTTGTTGAGGGCCTACCCCTTTTTGGCTGACCCTCCACTTTGCCAAGTATGATATCCTTTTTCAGGGAATGGTCCCTTCTGACATCGTGATCAAAGTAGGTGAGACAAAGCATTCTTGCTTCCAAGGAGCATTCTGGCTGCACTTCTTCCAGGGTAGATTTGTTCATTCTTCTGGCAGGGCAGTCCATGGTACTTGCATGATTCTTCACCAACACCACAACTCAAAAGCATCATTTCTTGCATTCACTTTAGCTACTCTCCTATCAAGAGCAAGTTTCAGAATTTTTTGTGACATACATTTTGGTCTTTTCTTTCTTGTCTTTTTACTGACCTTTTGCTTTCTTCATGTATGATGTCCCTGCCAGAATTCTTCTGGCCTTTAGTAGTCTTTAAAAATGATGGTGTAAATTTATATTTACTGAAAAAGGAACTTATTTAACTTTTAAAAAGTCAGTTTCAGTACAGTAGTATGTATATCTAATTCCATTTAAAAATATATTAAAATATATCTTCAATGAAAAAAGCTGGGAAAAATGTACACTGGAATTTTAATGGCAATTACCTCTGACTTGACAGATTTAATGAGTAATTTCTTTTTTCTACAATTTTAATGTAATTAACTGAAAAAAATTTAGGCTTAAAAAATAAATACATTAATTTAAAGTGTCAATGAGAAAATGAGGATGGTAATTATAATTCTGATTCAGTTTTCTTAGGGAAATTGATAATGTATCTCCTGAATTACAATAAGTGAAATAACTGAAGATTGTGTGTTCTGTGTGTGTCTGTCCATGTGTTTTTGTTTGCTCTAAAAATAGAAATGTGAAAAAAAACTGCATCCACGGAAACTTCAGGATAATTTTGAAACAGGCAAGTTAATTTTTTATCATTTTAAAATATTTTCTTGTGAAGTTTGATTAGGTTCTGGCCTAACTTTGATTTTAAATAGGATGATTAGCACATATTCTGCAGACAGTTTATATATGTGGTCAAGTTTTGTTATAAGAAATTAAGTATAATAAAGATATTTAAATGATCAAGATAAAATTGTATTTCCCTTCTAATGTGCTGTTTGTTTTGTGAATATCAAGATTTGGTGCTCTGTGTAACTACTGTAAATAAATAATTGCTTAGGGATTAAAGGAGAGCAGAACTAAATATCATAAACTTGAGGACATCTCATTCTTGCACATTTATAGGGGAAGAACAAACTTCATAGGGGAAGTATTTTTCTCTTGTTTTGGAGGTAATGGTGGCATTTTTTAAGGTGATACTAATAATAGCTTTCATCAAAGATGATACAACTTCTCTTCCTCACTTATCAAAAATAGATTGTGTGATCCGGTTTAGAAAGTAGTGACAGTGCATGTAGAAAGGTCTTTGACAATTGTTAAATAACTGTTAACATTTTTTCATCTATTTGCAGTAATCTCCTTTTTCTTCAGTACTATTTTGAATTGTATGAAATTCCCTTTGCAATAGGTACACATTATTCACCATCTAAATTTAAGGCTTTCATATAGAAAAGTCTGAAATGAGAATCAATATGAGTATATTCCTTTTCTTTGAATGATTTAAGGTAAAAACTGTTTTACCTTAAATTTTAAAAGATGCTTTAACCCGTTTTGGAAAGTTAAGGTTAACTATGAAGAAGTAGGAACTATCATTAGAGTTTAGTACAGAAAACTTACAGGGGTGGATGTTCTCTTAATAGGACTCTTCTGCTCACCTTGGCTAATAGTTCAGTCTAATTAATATACCATCAGAAATTACTCACACAATCATTTAAAAGCCATATGTTCTGGAACACGAGAGAAGGTACAGTGTAACACGGTATGTCCAGCTTAGTAGGGCATGATGTAGATAATGTAAATCTTTGGGTTCTTAGTCTTATGAAGGAGGAAGTATAAAAGGATTCTTGACCTAGGAGTCCTCATTTCAGTCTTTTTCTGCTTCACTCTGTTTGTGTCCTTTTGAAACCTCTTTTCCTGGTCAGGTCCTTGCTCTATTGAAAAAAAAAAAAAAAAAAAACCCAGATAAACTGGAGTTGGGTTATACTATGTTTTTGAAAATTTAGATTTTTCTTTAAGTTGGTATACTCCCTAAAGTGTCTTGGTCTCCAACTTTATTATTTCAGAATTGTAATCTTTATAACTCTTATAATTGTAATCTTTACAATGCTTACATTTTGATCTCTGTCAGAAATCTCCCATTATATTATGTTGGCCAAAAATACAAATGTTGAAGAACCTTTTCAATGTAAGGGTCTTAAAATAAAGCCTGAGAAGAATAATTTGAGAATTTGTGTAGAAATAAACAAAATATCATCAGTTTAGGGAAAAGAAGGTATCTTGGGTGGTTCTATTTAGGTTAGGTTCAGAGTGTGGGAAGATAAATATATTACACTTTATGTGAGTTCTTTTATAACAATTGGTGGATAGCAGTAATTGATTTTTTCTAAATTAATAAGCTTATTTATTTTGTTTTTTAAACAGATGCTCTATGTGACTTACCTTGCTCTAGTGAAGACCAGTTGCTGGAACATGCCGAGGGGCAGTCTCTGGCGTGTAATGGACATTGCAAGTTCCCGTTTTCATCCAGAACCTTTTTGAGTTTCAAGTTTGATCATAATGCCATAATGAAAATCTTGGATCTTTAATAGCAGCAAATGTGTTACGGAAATACCAAGATCAGAGACCTATTGCACTGGAGTATGTGTCTCTTCATGCCTTACCATTCTCAGGTGTTTTAATGAAATGCAGGGAGGCAATGTTTCTGAAGAGATTGCTCTTTGTGCAGAGGAGAGAGTGGCAAGAAATGAGTTTGCACTGTAAATGCAGTTACAACTTTTCATACATTTGTACCTTTCCAGTGTTGGGCTAATTAGTTTTAGTTCCTTTTTTTTTTTTTTTTTTTTTGAGGGCATTCACTCTGTGTAATTGTGGGCTTTATTTTGTATTCTGGTCAAGAAAAGTGTTGTCATCATGAAGTAGCCAAGTTAGTGAGAATGCACCATCTACCCATTATAGTGATCACAATAGTAGTTTACTTATATTGATATTCTTTAAAGACAGACTTAAAACACACAGTTTTTAAATGAACACAAGTGCTAAAGTGTCACGGAAGTCATGGAAGATTGCAGGTCATCTGCTTTGGAGGCATCTTGCATATTTATCTGCTTCTAACCACTTAGACTCTCTAATCCTCCTCTGCTTAGAGTCTTGTTGAAAGGTTTTTATTTAGAGCCAGTATCTGCAATATAATGTTTCTGTTCAAATTGAACTCTTAGCACTTCATTAAAGGACAAAGTCCACAGCATGGAGAGGGAATGAGGTGGATGGGTGTGATGCTATAACTGAGTTTTGCTGCAATGCAGTCAGGAAACCAGGAAGACTATTGGGGAAGGGGTGGCAGGGGATTATGGAGGTTAGGACCTAGCAGCTACTTTGGTTGTATCTTCACCAACCCTTTTTAGCACTGTAAAATGATTTTGTTCTTGTGGAAATGTCTTCATGTTACAGTTGCGTAAATACGTACGCAAAGCTGACTTTACTAGATTTTGCATTGCATCTCAGTGTTGATATGTGGAAACTGATGCTATGTTAGGTTCCAGTTTGTAGTAGTAACATACAGTGACACACTTTTATTGACATGCTGAAGTCCTTGGAGAGAGAGAAGAAAGGATATGTAGTTTAACTCATACAAAATATTTCAGTTAGGGAGAGTTGGAACACAAAAGGACCATACATAACTCACTCCTAGGAATGCATCTTGTTCTTTCAGGATTCTTAAATCCAAATAAGCATGGCAGTGCATATTTTAAGAAAGATTTCAGCTATAATTGAGGACAATCATCTGGGCTTTAAGGGGTCTTTTGTGTTTTGGGTGCATCTGACTTCATTGAAGGTATTTCTTTGTGGGGGGAGTTGCACAATCATATGTGCAGGTGCATCTGTCATGTGGGTTTTTTAAAATCTTTTATGTGTGGTATCCACAGAATTTATCTCTGCTTGTAAATGTTACTATAGAAATCTTCATTCTGTATAGGTTGCCTATTTAAAAGGGGTTCTATTTAACCTAGTGGGTCTTTTAAAGGAAGCCGCTATTCTAAGACATTCACTCAGTGTTACTTTGCTTTGGCTTTGAAATGGCTTAATTTTTAATGAGAAATTCTATTTATTAATGAAAATGTCACCCTCTTGGTGCTAAGCAGGAGAATTCACAATTTTAGCAGTGTATTTAGAGTTAGGTTATATAGAATTCTGTGTCTTGTAATGTGACAAATTTGTGAATCCTTCTATGACTTTTTTAAAAATGCATTATAATGGTTGTGTGTGGAAGCTCTTACTATTTCCAGAAATACGGCTGCTTTGCTTGGGTCTCTGTGAGCCATATTTATAGTTAGTCCCAGCATTCCAGATTTTTGTCAAAATGTTAAGGGAGTGAATACTTTGCCTGGCAGGTGAATCACTGTCACTGTTTTACTGTCAGCTGGAAACCATTTAATTGTGTGTGTGTGTGTGTGCGCGCGTGCGCGCGCGTGTGTGTGTGCATGCTTGCTTTCCTTCTACGTGAGTGCTTTGGTCAGTCTTTCTGGTGCCTAGAGTTGATTCTTCAGTTCTCAATACTAAAGCAAAAGAGATTAGTTACCAGAAGAAGTATGGCCTTTAATAGTATTGAGCCTCTTCAAGAACCAACAAATTATCCTTTTTTAATTACTGGTTAGTTTAACGATGGTTAAATATCATTGCTGTTTTGCTGCTTCATTTAATGCACTGTGGAACAAAATAAGGCTATTTTGGGATGGGATTATGATAATTTTAGACTTTTAACTCTCTTTAGAGATTGGGATAATAAATGTTAAAAGGTGTGAATTGAAGCTTATGTGTGTGATGTGAATTAACTATGCAGAACTGTATAAGTTGGATGTACCTGTTTATGTACATCTGCTGTACTTATGCCCTTGGACCTGTGTAATAATTTCTCAGTGTTCAGCTTACCTTGAGAAAGGCCATGCTTAGCACAGAAACTGGATTTCTTCTTTGAGAAATCTGAACATGATTTGAGGAAATCAAGTGATAAAGGAGTATGCTGAATATGCAATAATTTACTTCTACTGTGTGCTGCATTTTAAGAAGCTAGATGAGAAGACTAGTTGTGTTGGCTTCATTATGTCTTTGAGAGAGAAATTGGTCTTTGAATTTGCTTTTTAAATGTTATGTTCCAACTTTATATGTTCCAAGGTGCAGTGCACTGTGAATCTTTTATTTTTTAAAATTTTGTTGGTGCTTTTATATATCTTTTATGATTTATAAGATGTTAGAGGAGGTTTTTTTTTTTTTTTTTTTTTTTTAATTCTTAACCATTGTAGTCCAGATATAGAGAGATAGTTTACTTGATTTTTTGTAAGTGTTTGCTAAGAAACAGCAAATGAATGGTTTTAGGATTTCAGTGACGCTCTTCTAAGAAATGAATGCTTGGAGAGGGCTGAGAACCTAATAGAACTCTCTTAGCGTGGGAGAAATTTGATTAAAAGTGTTTGAAAATTAAGTTGAAATTTTTTGTTAGTATTATAAAGGCAAATTTCCTATGTTGTTAAAGGAATTGTGGTGACTGCTGTTTTGAGTTTTGGAGATCCTTATTTTTCTATTAAATATCAATCTGTAAGTACAGATAATGAAGATTTTTAGCAAAATTAATTTCATGCTGTAAGATTTGGTTGGTACTTTTAAGGCTTTAGTGACTTGTGTGTAATGTAGGATACAAACTTGTATCTAAGTGAATAGCATCCTTCCACTATAGGAATTAAATTCTTCTATAAATGTGTGCATATTATGGTAATCTGTAGAAAAGGTCTGGGTGCATGTGTGCATTAAAAAGATTTCATCACCTGTTCCCTCACCTATTTTTTTGCTTTCCAACAGTTTAACTCAGTAAAGAGAGAAGTCAGTTATAAAAGTTAGACTTTGTGCCACCTTTTCTTAACTATGTTAACTTCCTGCTTTTTAATCTTTATTTTTGTACCAATGAACTTTCCTCTACCTGCTCAGAGATTTTGTTTGGATCGACAAAGAATGCTGTACTTTACCTGTTGAAATCTCGTATTTCTGTATTTCTTTGAGGTAATATTTTTCTTGTATATTAATCACAATTATAATAAAGTTAGATACATTAACATTTTTCTGGTTGAAGAAAAATGTTATCTAGTAATTAGACTTGGATTTTCTAGTTTTAGGGGAAGGGGCTTATATGTATTGTTGTAATTTTATATTAATAATAAGCAAGATAAGCATTACTTTGTCTGAAGGTATATATCTTTTACCTTAAAGTACTTGTCCCTAGGTAAATAGGTGTTAGGAAAACAACAATTTTGTTAAACCTTACTCCTGATGGCTTGCAGAAGCCTAGCTGGAGTTTCTAATTTTGTATTAAGGGGCATTAGTATAATTGCCAAAAAATTAAAAAAATTAGATTATGATGAGCTTTTTCAGCATCTTCTTCTTCTTAGAATTGAGTTGTTGCAGTCTGCATGCCTGTGCCAAAAAGATAGCAGATTGCAAATGAGCAGGCTTGGTCCCATGCTTTCAAAACTCATTCTGAATTGCGATTTAAAAAAATATGATACGCTATATGATAGGCAGAATTGCCCAGAAGGCGTGCTGGGTCAAAGAGTATAAGGAAGATACTTTAGGTTTATCAGTTCTTGAATGCTGTGTGATGCACTAGGCTAGAAATGTGATCATTGATTAGCTCAAATATAGCTTAATGTATGTGGTCATTACCAAGCTTTTTCCAGCTCTGGATAAAGTTTATTTTTTTCTAAGTATGGTTGCCCAGCAATCTAGTGAATCTAAAGAATTTTTCTCACTTTTAAGTTGAAAGACCAGTGTTTAGGAGTCTGATCCTTTGTGTGTTGATACTTTACAACTCCAGCCAAACCGAAGTGCTCTGCTTTCCTATACAAAGATACCCTAGAGTATATACACCCTAGTCAGGTGTGTGTCATAGTCATTTTCAGTGGTAGTTATACATTTGTCTGTCCTGGATGGGAGTAGACTTGAAGGGTTGGCCTCCATCAGTTGAGTTGCTTAGATTTTTAACGTAAAGTAAAGAAATGTAAAGGAAAAAAGACCATTGAAAGTCTTCTCTTGAGAAATGTTCATAATTTAATCTGGGTCTCCAGATCAATAATTCAGTAAGGAAATTCATTTATCTTGAAACATCTCTGATGAACAGAGAGGGATGGTCTAGCCATGGTAGGAACTTGAAAACATGATCATCTGAGATTAACCTTGACAAGGTGCTTGCATTAGCTGTGCTGGTCAAGTGCTTTGGGAAAAAGATTAAATGCAGAAATCAGTTGCCTGTGTTTGTAACTTTGTTGCACATTGACCATCCTCTTAATAGACTTTAGCCCTTTAGCCCAGTAGAAAGGTTCTTGAGGCAGCTGGGTTTGTTTTTTGTTGGCCACTGTCTGTGTGTGCCATTTGAAGACACATTGTCTCTTACTCAGTTTTCTTGGTGTGTCTGGACAGGAAGAGACCATTGAGGTGCCTACCCCTCTCCCCCCAAATATGTTTTCATTTGGACTACATCCCTGTGGTGAATGTGCCATGGTAGGAATTTGTAAGCAGTGATCATATCATCTTTCCTCTTGCAATGATGATCTCATCTGGGCCCCAAGCAAATGCACAGGTAGGATACCTGTGCACTTTTGAGTCTTCCAGTGCATGGTAACTGTCAAATTAGTTTGGGAACAAAGAGAAAACTCCTGTGTAGTTCTAGGGGGAAATGGCAATGTTCTGGTGGTCCTTAGTCTTTGAGAGGATAGTGAACTGTGTGAAATAGAATGTAACATTTTTATTTGATCTACTTTCAATTAATTGATTCTGAGATTCTAGACAGTCTATAGCTTAAAATTATGGTGTGAAACATTTTGGGTACAACTTTACATTGTTATTAATTTCCCAAGCTTTAAGAAATTATTTGTTATTTGTAAAATATCTTGGCTTTTTGAGTTGGCAGCAAGATAAAAGCTCTCATCTGTGAATGAATTTAGAAAGGTAGTAACTATTCCTTAGTGGTTTGGTTGGTTAGATGTGTTGATACTCTGGGAACAT